TAGCCTCATCGAGGCACTATATGAGATATCTTAATAGTGACTTGATGACAATAAAAGTAATGATTCCCCAATTGCTGCACATTTGTGTTTGATATCCGTGACCTGTATTTTACAATAGAAACTCTTAGAAAATAATAAAGCATATTGATTTTTTAGGAAATTACCGACTTATTTTGGTTCCAGTGTTGGACACGTGTTCGCTCATGCCATCAATAGAGTTAATATTAATTTTTCAGGTGTTAGTGTTTATGATTTAGAATTGTTCAACATGGGAAAAAACTCTTACCAATAAGGGCTTTTTGACAGTTCTGAGTTCTCAGTCTACCGCAGGCTTCTTTTCTGAAATCGCTTCCGTAGTTGTCATTGTGAAATATGGCCATTTCTCCTTTCACTGATTTGCAACCTAAGATTGATGTATAGTGCAAGGAGATGTTTTCATCATCCTAATCATTACGAAAAAACCATAGTGAGATAATCAAATTCAATTTAGCGTTGTTCTTACATGTGCACCTTAAGAGAACCACTACAATGAAGAACCCACATAAACAATGATGCTCCTGCCATGCAATCTTAATTCTGCCTTTCAATTCGTGCTTTTAAACTCGAACTAAGAATTAGTTTTCAGTGAATTCATGCCTTATCATAACAAGTCCAAAACTTTCACGCAATGTTAAAACAACCACAGTCCAAAAAAACCCGCAAAGCTGCTCATTTGTAAAACTGGAATGTAAAATGGCTTAATACTGACATAATCAAATATGTCTATAAGCCAATATAGCAAATGTTGATGAAAAAATAACTGTCGCGTTGCTTTTCAATGAGAAAGAGAGCAAGCAGTGTCTACTTTAGCATCTCAGATAGCTACCACAGCTTGCATTAAATTTTTCTGACCAGTCAATGGAGAAAAAATTCTTTTTCTTGTGCAGAACAGGTGAGCACGGCATTATGATATGGCACGAACAATGATGTTTGAAAAAATTGCAATACAAATTTTTATTTTTGATTGTCATATGCTGATGTAATTCAAATATGCATGGGCGAAAACTGATTCCCCTGCAATTAGCTAACTACTACATTGCATGAAGTTAAATATATGATACACTATTGGAGTCTAGACGCTATCTCACTTTCAGTTCCTTTTGAATTCTCTGAAACACTTTGCGACTATCTCACATAGAATTTCTAGAATATAATTTAATTACTTTGCAGAAGAATTTATGAATTGTTCATCATGGGAAGAACTCTTAACAAATGTGAAATTTTTGTCGGTGTTAATTTCACATGTCGTTGCAAGCCTTCTTTCTGGAATAGTCTCCATGATTGTCATTGTGAAATTTGGTCATTCATATTTTCATGTTAACTGCAAGGTAAGTCTTTAAAAAGTAAACCTACTTACGCATTTTTCGCTACATAATTATAGAGAACATAAGAAATCTTTGATGTTTGACGGTAGCATTCAGTTTTTCCACTTTT